GTTGGGGTTTCTAGGCTTGAGTGTGAGGCCTTTGCTAGGGAACTGCCCTCTTCTACCCAGTATTTCTCTGTCTCCTGTTCATATGAATATTCTAAATTCTTTGTTTTCCATTTCAACATTGTTCACACCATCTTTACCAGAAGTAGATCCCATCTCAAGAAACTACTTTCTTCATTTATCTATAAGAAGCAATTCCTCATCTGCTCAAGTTTTATCATGAAAGTGCAGCAATTCAGCCAAAACTTCAGGCTCCACTTCTATTTCTAGTTCTTTTGCTGTTTCTACAACATCTGCAGTTACTTTCTTCACTGGGTTTTAAACCCCTCCAAGTCATCCATGAAAATTGGAATCAACTTCCTTCAAACTCCTGTTAATGTTGACAATTTGAATCCTGAATATTTTTCATGGCAACTAGAATGGTGAATCGTTTCCAAAAGATTTTAAATTTACTTAGCACAGATCCAGCAGAGAAATCACTATCTGTGGCAGCTATAGCCTTACAAAATTTATTTCTTACATAAAAAGACTTGAAAGTCAAAATTACTCTTTGATCCATGGGCTGCCAATACAATGTTTTGTTAGCAGTCATGGAAACATTAATCTCTTTGTATTTCTCCATCAGTGCCCTTGGGTGACCAGGTGCATTGTCAATGAGCAATAATATTTTGAAAGGAAACTATTTTTGGAACAGTAGGTCTAAACAGTGAGCTTAAATGTTCAGCAAACCATGCTGCAAACATATGAGCTGTCATCTAGTCTTCGTTGTTCCATCTATAGAAAAAAGATAGAGTATATTTAGCATAATTCTCAAGAGCTTTAGGATTTTCAAAATAGTAAATGAGCATTGGTTTCAATCTAAAGTCACCAGCTGCATTAACCCCTAATGAGAGTTAGCCTGCCATTTGAAGCCTTCAAGCCAAGCATTGACTTCTCTCCAGCTACAAGTCCTACATGGCATCATCTTTCAATATAAAGCTGTATCATCTACACTGAAAATCTGTTGTTTAGTGTTGCCACCTTGATCAGGCTTCTCAGCGAGATCTTCTGGATAACTTGCTGCAAATTCTGCATCAACACTTGCTGCTTCACCTTGTGCTTTTAAGTTATGGAGATAGTTTCTCTCCTTCAACCTCATGAACCAATCTCTGCTAGCTTCACACTTTTCTTCTGCAGCTTACTCACCTCTCTTAGCCTTCATAAAATTGAAGGGAATTTGAGTCTTGCTTCAGATTAGTCTTTGTCTTAAGGGAATGTTGCTGCTGGCTTGATCATCTATCCAGACTACTAAAACTTCTTTCCTATATGTAATAAAGTTGCTTTGCTTTCTTATCATTCATCTGTTCACTGGAGTCATATTTTTAATTTTCTGCAAGAATTTTTTATTTTGCATTCAAATATTGGCTGTTTAGTACAAAAGACCTAGCTCTCAGCCTGTCTAAGCTTTTGACCTGCCTTCCTCACTAAGCTTAATTATTTCTAGCTTTTGATTTAGAGTGGGAGATGTTTGAGTCTTTCTTTCAATTGAACACATAGAGGCTATTGCAGGGTTATATATTGTTCTAATTTCAATATTGTTGTGTCTCAGGGAATAGGGAGGTCTGAGGAGGTAGAGAGGGAGAGAAATGTGGGAATAGCCACCTGATAGAAAAGTCGTAACACACACACAACATTTAACAGTTAAGTTATTTGTCTTATACAGGCACCATTTTTGGTGCTCCAAAACAATCACAATAGTGACATGAAAGAACACTTATAACAGATCATCATAACAAATATAATAATAATTACAAAGTTTGAAATATTACAGAATTATCAAAATGTGACACAGAGGCATGAAGTGAGCACATGCTGTCAAAAAAAATAGTGCTGATAAATCTGTTTAACACAGGGTTGCCACTAACTTTCAATTGGTAAAAAATGCAACATCTGCAAAAGTCAATAAAGTGAAGCGCCATAAAACATAACATTCCTATACTCAATTAAGGCTCAAATATCTTTGCTAATGAGATAGAGCAGTGTTAGAGATGGGAAAGTTGTGGTTCTAATTTTAACAGGAAAAAGGTGGGAAAAGTTAATTGAAGACATTATAGTATGATGTTATGGAAGTAAACTGGAATAAGAAATAATTAAGGACAGTTTAGTCACAATATATTCAGGCTGCTGATTACAAAGTAAGAAAAGTTCAGGAAAAACTTTGGGAATCATCTGACATCAAAAACAAGACAGGGTCATTCTGTATTCAGGTCTTCATATGCAAATGAAAAACTAACAATTGTACTTGCTAATTTTGCGAAGTTTTTATTACATGTAAGTAGCTGAAAACCTCAAGAAAATGTACCTATAAATGTAATCACTGAATTTAGAAGACACTTTATTATCCTATGTTTATGTATTTATTGAGTCAGTTTATGTATTCATTCTAATTACATTAGTTGCTCTGACTGCCCTTTTTCTGCCAAAGGTTCTCAAGATGGTCTATCCAGTTAAATTGAAAAACCTTTAAAACTAGAAGATATCTTAGAGAAGCAACACCATGATGAATTTCAAAAGATGAATTTCAAGGGGAGGAAGATGAGTGATTCTTACATCTGGCCTCTTTCTTTCTTTCTTTCTTTCTTTCTTTTGAGACGGAGTTTTCGCTCTTGTTACCCAGGTTGGAGTGTAATGGCGTGATCTCGGCTCACCGCAACCTCCGCCTCCTGGGTTCAGGCAATTATCCTGCCTCAGCCTCCTGAGTAGCTGGGATTACAGGCACGCACCACCGTGCCCAGCTAATTTTTTGTATTTTTAGTAGAGACGGGGTTTCACCATGTTGACCAGGATGGTCTTGATCTCTTAACCTCGTGATCCACCCGCCTCGGCCTCCCAAAGTCATCTGGTCTCTTTCATGGATTGAGATCACAAATGAAACTTATAGGAAAAAAATAAAAATTTTAGATGTAAAATTAGGGTTTTTGTGTGCCACAGGTCCAAGTTATTTGATGAAACAAATTATATAATAAATATTTCTTTACCTTGATATCTCAAAGTGAGAGGTATAGGAATAGTAGACATTGATTGTATCAGATGCAGATTGGATTTATCACAGGATGGATTGCTATGTTAGAGTCTCTGATTAAATCTTCCAGGAAAATTGTCTTCTAGTTTTGGCATTGTGAAAACAAATCTGAGGGAACCCTATTTTTTGAATAAATAGGTAAGATTTTCTTTTAAGCCAAAATGTTTTTGAAAGCTCTTCTTCTCCTTTGTAGATATTTTATTCAGTTATCTTTTTTTCTCTTTTTTGGATTCTCTTTACATTGGATTTCCCCGTAATGTTATATTTTTTTCTTAATTAGGTCATGTTTTAGCCTAGGATGTATTTCTGATTTTTGCTTCTTTTCTGGTCACTATTGTTTCTCTGGAGTATGTTGAGGTTCAGAAAATGGAATTTCCAAAAACTGGCACTTTTTGAGAAGCCTTAGAAGCTGCCTCAGAATCAAGTTTCCTGTGATCCTATTTTATTCTTACCCTAAGGGCAGAAAGAGACTTTCTCTGGAGTTTTCTTAGCTTGCCCAGAAAGCTTCTATCCAGAAGACAAGCAATTGTCCTAACCTTGTCTTTAGAGATCTCATAAAATAACCAAGAAAAGTCAACTACCTGAGAAGAGACTAGACATTATCCCCATGGCCAGAGATTTTCCATCTATTCCTGTGAAAGCAGATAAAAGAAATTACCTGGGAAACTTTATCTTCATAAGACTTTTGTTCCTGTACAGCTCTGCCTCTCCTCTTCCTGTAATGACTCCCAGATATATACATTTCTCCCCTATGAAGAGAGTATTTAAGCAGTAACCATCTGACCCCTCTTTGAGTTCATAACTCCTTTGCACATATGTGCAGATTGATAGACTTTGTATGTCTTTTATGCTATGAATCCATTTTTTGCTAGTTGATTTTTTTAGTGACATTTGAGAGGGGGAAGGAAAAATTTCCTCTTGGTCCCTACAGTTTTGGTGCTGTGAGTAGAATAAACAAAACTCTTCTCTCTTCTGTAAGCTGCAGTAGAGCGAACCTAGAACATAGTAAGCTGGCAGAAGTATAAGAATTTCTTACCAGTCAGATATCTGGTTGTCTGTCTTTGGAATCCCATCAACTGAATGATAAAAGTATGGTTTGTCTCTTTTTTTCTTTTTCACATTTAATATTAAAGGGAGAAAAGCACTTATTTAGACTAGTCTTAGGTATAGCAATTATGGTGTATTTTTTGGTCTGAATATTTATATTGTGTGATCCTTTTCTTCCCAGAAAGTCTTTATTATTTTGTCTTTCCATTTCATTTGTCATAACGGAGTGGGACTGTGATATGTTAGATCATTTCCGGTGGCCAGTGTGAAAGAGCTGGGAACCCTGAGTCATGTGAGATGTTAAAAGGCACACATTTTGTTCTCTTAGTTTTCTATGTGTCATGCTCTCAAGAGAGTTTATCTTAATAAGAGCTACCACCTATTACAGGCTTTTGTTATTTCAACCTTGGTTGCCTGGTTAGCCTAAGGAAGTTCAAACCCTGGAGGACCTACTCAGTGTCATGAATTAATGAGTCTGAGATTGGCAACCCTCAACAAATTTGTAAGATATTGGAGGCAGGATATGGAAAAACACCATTCTTAACCATCCAAGGCAACAAGACGGTTGCTCTTTTGCTATCTTAGCCTATTCCTGGGAGTGAATTTGAGGAATCATGAGGGGATGCCTTTTCTGGGCCCATTTTTAAAATGCCACTTACATCCATGGTGTATTCTAAACCTAGAATGTTATCTGTGGAAATTTCTGTGAAAAGGTTTACTGACTTGAGTCACTTACGGAATAAATAAATTGGTTACATTTAAAAGAAAATTCTTTTAGAGTGCACTCATCTTAAACAACTGTTTCTATAAAAAGTATAACACATATAGAGCATTAAAAAATCTCTTGGAAGATTTTTTTGAAGGCGGAAATCAGATTTTAAGAAAACACCCCAAAAATATAGCCTTAAAAATTTTATTGGGAGATTTCCTTAAGGCAGAAATCAGATGTTAAACAAAGGATTTAAAGTTAAAATCCTCTGTATACTCAAACTTCCTGCTTTGTATACCCTGCAAGATTTTCCAAAAAAGGCACTTGACCCTGTAGTCTAGTGGCTATGGTTCCGAACATTCACTGCCACAGCATGTCTCAAGTTCAGTTTTCATCAGAGAAGCAATCACTTGAAGATGTCATACTTTACCTTGAGAAAAGAAGAAACATTTATAGAAATTAGTTTGAATTATTTGTTTTTAGTTTATGTTTGTGTGATTCGACTTTTGAGGGTATCTATTGTTGATCTTTCTCCCTTTCATGGCAGCTATACTTTTCCTATTCATTGCTAAGTCTCTTCTTTTAGCTGCCTTTGGGAGTGCATTTGAATCTTGTGAGAACTGCTTCTTTGCATCTCTTTAAAGATACCTCACAAGTCCTTGGTTAAATCATTAAAGGCTTATTGGTTTCCATTCTGAGTTACTTGGTGAATATCTTTAGTTTAAAAAAAAGGTTAAAATGCAGGAATGTTAGCTGTTTGCCCAGGCTAAAGTCCGATAATAAGACATTTGGAAAAAAAAAAGTACCTTTAAAAAGGTTGATGATCAGAAATCAGCTTAAATAAAAGCTGATATTCTGGCTATATATACATATTTTTTAAAGATATTTCTGCTTTTTTTGGATCCTGTTTCTCCTCTGGGGACTTTTTTTAGTTAACTGAAACATTTTTTATAAAAATTATATGTTTGGTGTCTGCTTTTTTTCTTGTCGGCATAATTTTTGCTGAGAAAAACATAAATTTTATTGGTCTTTTCAGAAGATTAAAATTTCCCGAAACTGACTCTTCCAAGAGTCAGTTCCATTTGCTTCTACTCCTTCTGTTAGCCACCTTCATAGTACCATCTAGTTTCCTTTAATCATTGATATGTTTTCCTTCAAGTCTCTACCTCCTCCATTTGATGAGCAGTGAATGGAGAATTACTAAGAAACACACACACACACACACACACACACAAACACACACACACTCACACAGTTCTGGTTATCACATAAAGGGTTCTCAAAGAATCACTTCTAGTGATTCTGAGAATCCTTGAAGAAGATAGCCAGGGCACCACTGATCCCTGTTGGGGTCAACCATCTTTGAAGTGGAGCCCCAAGAGTCATGAGTGACTTCAGCCCTATTTGTTAATGGACTCCTCCCTGAACTCAGTAATCCAGTTAAGAAATATAAACCAAATTAAAAAGCCATCTACTGAAATAAACCTGCTTCCAAAGTTCAACATTCTGACACCTAGTAGATATAAATTCTGTGTCTTTGCAATATAAATGGATATAAATGTTCAACTTTTTAATCTAAGAGTCATCCCTTTAAAAGTATAAATTTATGATCACCTAGCTAACAAATACTTAGGGCAATGGAACATGTAATCAGAAGATTGATGGTCTGAATGGAAAGAACAAACCATAAGCTAGCAAATGAAGAATCTTAATGAAAGTTAGAAGATCTGCTTCTGTTCATGTCTGTATGTCTATATGTGTCATGTGTATGTGATATTTCTATATGATCTAGGATAATCTTTGGTAAATAAAGCTAGTTTTAAAATTATTGGCAAAATAAAATAGAAATGTCTTCAGAATTTAATTTAGACATTTTTGCCTAAGACTATTGGTCAGGCAAATTGATCTTCCTGATGCTAGATGTTAAGGTCATATTTTATACTTGCTTGATTTGTCCATATGCTAAAAATGCAAAAATTATTTGTTGGGCTTCCCCAAGTTACACATCAATGATAGAAAACTAGACTTACAAAATTGCTAACCTAACATCAAGCAGAACTAGAATTAACTACATGGGACTAAACCAATGAGGGACTCAAATGATTTTTTTACTTTTTAAACTTGAAATATTGCTGATTATTTTGTTTCTCAGAACCAAAAAATTTTAAGCTACTTATAGCTTGCAGTAATTAGATAAAGTATATATTTATGGACAAAATGGAAATATTTACTTTTCTTTCTACTGGATACATCCAGAATTCAGAAACTATTCATGATTGTTCTTATTTTATGAGATTTGGGTGGGGGCACATATAGGAACTGTATCCACTGGAATATCCTAATTTCAAATATGGCCAGACTGCTTTGAGAGACTGAGGTTTACCTTCCTGGAGCCAATTAAAAACCCCATGAAAAAACTTGACTGGTACCTTGCATGCATATATTTGACAGAGTTTTTAACCTGTATTAGTATTTATGAAATTTTTTATGTTTGTCAAAGTTGTTTATAATCAAAGCATATTACTGACTGTACTTATTATTCAATAATTTTTACATCTATTTTCTGCATTCTATTTTTAAAACACACATATATAATCAACTATATAGAAGAAACATAGTTCACTTGCTTTTTTTCAGTTGTATACCTCTTTTTAAACAATATTTTACAAATATATATGTTACTATGGAGATACTCTTTTTGAAACACCTAGAATTCTACACTCTATTCTCTTTACTCTTCCCTTTCTTGATATTTATTGTCTCTGTTACTCTCAGAAAAGACTAGAGTAGAAAATACAGGAATGAACAAAAAGCAGCAGCAGCTGGTTCATATTTGCTATCACCTCTGAGTCATCCTCTTCAATCATCCTACCTGGAACCTCATGTGTTCTCAAAAATGCATCAAATGGTAAAAAGGATAAATGGGTAACACACAAAGACATTGCATATATAGCAAATCATAGACAGCAAGTTAGTTGTTAACATAGTCATGCATCACTTAATAATGAGCAATGAGAAATGCATCATTAGGAAATTTCATCATTGTAGTAGCATCATAGAGCATACTTACACAAACCTAGATGGTAAAGCCTACTACACACTTAGGCTATATGGTACAAATAACCTACTGCTCCAAGGCTGTAAACCCATACAGCATGTTACTGTACTGAATATTTTAGTGTATTGTAACACAATGCTAGGTATTTTGTATCTAAACATTGAAAAGGTACAGTAAAAATATGGTCTAAAAAATAAAAAATGTTTCACCAGTACAAGGCACTTACCATAAATGGAGTTTGTATGACTGAAGTTGCTCTGGGTGACTCAGTGAGTGAGTGGTGAGTGAATGTGAAGGCCAAGGACATCACTGTACACTACTGTAGACTTTATAAACACTGCACACTAAGGCTACACTAAATTCATTAAAAACACCTTTCTTTCTTCAATATTAACTTAGCTTACTAAATAAATAACTAGCTTAATAAATAGCTTAGTATAACTTTTTTACTTTATAAATTTTATTTTCATAGACTTTTTGATGCTTTTGTAGTAATACAACTTAAAATAAAAACATTCTATAGCTGTACAAAAATATGCTCTTTCCTTATATCCTTATTCTGTAAGTGTTTACTATATTTAAATGTTTATTTCTGGTTTCCCTTTTTAAACATTTTGTTAAAAGTTAAGACACAGACACCTATATTAGCCTGGGTCTACACAAGGATCAGGGTCATTGTATTGTCTATTCTCACACTATTATAAAGAAATACCTGAGACTGGGTAATTGATAAAGAAAATTGTTTTAATTGGTTCATGGTTCTGCAGGCTGTACAGGAAGCATGGTAGTGTCTGCTTCTGGGGAGGCCTCAGCTTCAGGGAGCTTTCACTTATGATGGAAAGCGAAGTGGGAGCAGACATCTTATATAGCAGGAGAAGGACCAAGAGCGAGCCAGGGGAAGTGCCACACACTTAAATAACTAGATCTCCCTATAACTCACTCACTCACGTTCATGATGGCAATATCAAGGGTGATGGTGTTAAACCATTCATGAGAAGCCACTCCCATGACACTTGGGCAGGGAAACAGATCCAACCCATATCAATCATCAATATCACTGTTTTCCATCTCCGCATCTTGTCCTGCTTGAAGGTCTTGAGGAGCAATAACACACATGGAAGGAGCAATAACACACATTATATTATCTTCTATAATAATACTGCTTTCTTCTAGAATAACTTCCGAAGAACCTATCTAAGGCTGCTTTACAGTAAACTTTTTTTAAATAAGTAGGACTACACTAAAAGATTAATAGTATAGTATACACATAAACAAATAACACAGCTGTTTATTATTACAATAAATTTTGAGCAAAGAAATTGATTCAAATATATTTACAATTGACAAAGTAAATATATCAAATGCCCTACTATAAACTCTTTCAGAATATCAAGAATACAAAACAAAACAATGCAGAGATGACTACTTTAGTAAAAGGTAAAAGCACATTCTGTTATTGGACAAAAAGATTAAATAATTCAAAATGTCATTTTCTCTAGATTAATATTTTATATAATACTGCTTTATCTGAACCAAGAAAACTTTAAATAGAAAAAGAGAAATATCTAAGAGCTATTGATAAGTTTAGAAATACTACAATTACTGCATATATAAAAATCTTAAAATTTTACTAAAACAAAACTGTTACATATTTTGAAGTCTTTAGAATGTGACTAGAAGGAGAGTAGTGACAAAAATAGTGAAAACAATAATTAAAACAAAGAAAAAAATTAAGATAGCACTTGATGTGGTAAATTTATTGTTTGAGTACTTTTTAATATTTTAATTAAAAATCAAAGTAATGATCAAGAAGAATTTGTCAGAGAATGAAACAAAATAAATCTGATCTTAACAGCCAGTAAAAAATTTTCCTGTTGGCACACTATTAAGAAAATGGAATACAAATTAGGCTTTAAATTTGAACTTAATTCAAAGCATGAAACAGTAAAAATTCTGATCTGGTTAAGAAAGAAGTCCATTGGAGGAGGAGCAAATAATGAGGTTAGTAATGTTGGCATATGTGATGATTAACTTTATGTGTCAACTTGAGTGGGCTAAGGGATGCTCCAATAGCTGATCACACATTATTTCTTGGTTTATCTGTGAGGGTGTTTCTGAAAGAGATTTGAATTTGAATCAATAAATTGAATAAAGAAGATTGCCTTCAGTGATGTGGACAGACATCATCAAATTCATTGAGGGTCTGAGTAGAACAGAAAGAAAAAGGAAAAGTAAATTCTCTTTCTCTTTTTCACTCAGAACACCCATCTTCTGCCAGCAGACATCACAGTTCCTGCTTCTCTGGCCTTTAGACTGCGATATTTACACCAATACCCCTCAAGCCCTGTTCCCCCCGGTTTTCAGATCTTTGG